CCGCGCGTCCTTGGCTGCCCAGGATTCCCCCCGTGCCAGCCAGGGGCAGCCTTTTCAATCCGGTCACGTCGTACCCCGCGTCAGCCTCTCGGTTTTCCGCGGTAAGGTCCGGCCTCTGCTCCCCTCCTCGCCGGGCTCCCGCACACGGCTTCCTCCCCGCGCCCACCGGAGCCTTGGCACCTGCCGTTCCTCCCAGCGCGCGTCCCCGCAGACAGGCGTGCCCTCCCCACACACTCAGACACACACACCAGGTCTCCATCCCATCGCCATTACCGTCTCCCTAGGACACGCTCGCGTCTCCTGGGCTGGAGTATGAAGTCCAAGAGGGTGAGAAACCCTCTTACCCGGGGTGCCAGGGGGCTCAGCACCACCTGTGCCCGGCCGGCGCTCAACACCTACTGGCCTCCGGCGCGCAGGAGTTCCGGAATGAACGGCAGTTGTGCAAAACCAGGCTTAGAAACTGGGTGTTTTCTAACTGCTAGATGGCACAAATTGCTGGCAGTGTTCGTTAAAAATAAATAAATAAATAAAAATGTAAAAAGATAAAAACACCGGTGATCCCTGAGTGAGGCCACCAACACTGAAACCAAACCTCCCCTCCCGAGAGGGTCCTGGGAACAGGATTTCCTGTAGCTTTATGCTGACGGATGGGCAGAGCCTGCGTCTTTTACCGTTTTGTTTTCTAACCGTGAAACCGGAGGGAAAAGAACGTGGAGATGCCGGGGATTGAACCCGGGGCCTCATACATGCAAAGCATGCGCTCTACCACTGAGCTACATCCCCTGACCCTCCATCACAACTCTCGGAATGGTGATACAGGAAGCAGCGCCCTGTCCCCTCCTCAGGCTCCTCCCCTTCTGCACTCTCCGCGCCCGTGTGGACGCGGCGTACCTCTCCGCGCCCGGGAAGGGCTGCTGGAAGCTGCACCTGAGGCGTCCCAGGCGCAGCAGGCGGAAGTGGCAACCTGAGCACGTCTGTCTTTGGGGAGTGACCTGACCGCGAGCCGGCCGGGCTCGTCCTCGTTAGTATAGTGGTGAGTATCCCCGCCTGTCACGCGGGAGACCGGGGTTCGATTCCCCGACGGGGAGGCTAGCCGGCACTTTTACCTAACGCGTTTTTTAGACCCAAGATCTCCCCGGCGCCAGCCGTCGCGTGGCTCACATGGGAGAGGCGAGTTCAACCCTCCAGGGGCTCGGCCCCGCACACTGTCACAGTCCACGCGCGACCTCGGTCACTTCTGCGGGGAAAGACTGGGCTCCTAAGTGGGAGTAATTCACTTTAAAGAACAAGGGGGAGGACGGAGGGAGGTAGAACAAAATAGAAGCAGTCGGAAAGCCAAGAAGTGATACACTCCGTTTTCAAAACTCCAAACGACTGAGCTTTGATGAAAACCAGCGGGTCCCCTGCCCTAAGTCCACACTCCTCACCTGTCCCAATGTTCCAAACGCACACTTGTTCTTTTCTAAAAGACCAGCGGGAGCTAAGTTGGTAGAGACTTTACTGGCCTTTTAAAATCTGCCGCTATTTTTTAATTCTGTGTATCTGATCAAAATCCTAAAACTAAGAAAACGTCTATTCAATCACTTGGGTCCAATATCTTGGTTGAAGGAAAATCTCGTCTCCTGTTACATTAAAAATATCAACCTAGACTCTCATCTCGCTTTTGCAAAAATGCCTTCTAGATGGATTTAAGAGCCATGCGTATTTTTAAAAGCAAAACAAATTAAACTTGAAGAAGAGTACAGCAGTGTATTGTGTCATCGCACCATCTCAGAGCATGAAAGGAAAAGAAAGGTCTTGCCAAACTTTTAGCAACGGCAATGGAGAAAGGATTTCTTAATGGCTAACCTCCTCCATGCAGCACTTTAGCGCCTGGAGAAGACAATGAAGAACATCGGCAAAGGAGCAATCTCTTTATTATAGAAGCGACTTACACAAATCATTAAGAAAAATCCCCAAATATCAACAGGTTACAATCAAAAATGAACTTACAGAAGAGGTAAAATGATTTGTTGATAAAATATGTGTAGAGGGTCAGCCAGAGGCATAGTGGTTAAGGTGGCTAGGCCTAACATGGCCCATACTCCGGCTCCAGTCCTGGGACCCAGCACCTTGGAAACCAAAAAAAAAAAAAAAAAATGTCCAACCATACCCAAAATTCCCAGAGAGTGGAGAAGGAATTGTAGAGCCTCTCCCTGGGGGATGCTCACGTCCCCTCTCTCTCTCTCTCTCTCTCTCTCTGTCTCTTTTTCTCTATCCAGCTTATGTGTCCTATAAAAATGTTTTAGAGATTTTTTTAGATAGGGTGTGTGTGCTTACTGGAAAGACAGAGAGAAAGCGAGAAGTCATCGCCCCTGGTGGGAGGGTGTGCGGCCACTCCACAATCCCTTCTCCTCCATTCTCTTCTCTGGACTGTAGGCAGGAACAGGCACCCGATGTGAGTTTCAAGCTCGCGGGGCGTGAACCACAGTCAGTCAGCCATGTG